CCCCCCCCCCCCCCCCCCGGGTCTCTCTCAATGGGTAATTTTAGTTATCATGCACTTCTCCAGCCCATTAACATCCTTAAGATATAACAAGTTATCTGATTAATGGGTTATTAGTAACGCCAAAATTAAGAAACAATTGCAGTCATTTGCATGACACATTTCAAGAATTGTGTTTAGGACTAGATTCAGATCACAGTGCAGGAAGTAGAATATGCTAAAAAAGGGACGAATAAACCAACAAAAAAATTGTATTGTGTCATCAAAAAGAGCTATATGAAAGTATCCGTGATGCAGGTGATAAAATTTTAAAGCACAAGCAAAATAGGAATTGGTACCCCGTTCAGCATTAAGGTTTATATGGACAAAGAGGTGAAAAACAATGGGATATTATTTGAGCACTCGAACTTTTGGCATATCAGTGGCGAGGGTAATAATTGCTACATTTCTGCATCTTGTAGTATTATATATCTCTTTTTGGAATATAAATGTTTTCTCAACACTTCTGAGGTCCTTGTTTAGATACTGGCTCATTCATTACTTAGCCGAGGGAAATCCTTCTTTAAGTAGAGTTGATCATTTATTCTGTTCCATAGTTCTTTTGAGTTGTCCTAGTGGATGCAGGATCTCTAGAACCTATGTGATGTAGAATCAATGGAGGGAGATTTCAATAATAGAAAAGAAAGAAGAAGAAGAAGAAACGGGAGCACAACAAAGAGTAGAAGAAGTAGAAACGGGGAGAAAAGAGGGGAAGACGTGATAGTCGCCAATGTAATTTTTACTCAAATCAATAATTATTCAACTACAATGAAAATCTAATAAATAGCAAAAACCTAACTTGAAGGGTTCGGGCCAACCCGCTACTACAAGCCCAATAATAGAAAATATAAATAACAAGTTCAATAACAATAAAATAAATCTCAATATCGATGATGTCCGCATCAACTCTCTCGGGGTGGAAGAAAACTCAACCCTACTGAGTGGATAAGGCAGAAAAGGAGGTAATCAATCGCCCCAACCATAAACTAAGGGGTTGAACGAGCTTTTTCCGACGTCCATAAAAGCTTGTCATTGGTGGTCTAAATCTGGTGTCCCCACCAATGTCCCCTGAATGTGTGGAAGGAGAACCAGGCAACGGAAGATCTTGCCGACTCCGATAGAGCTCCAATAAGTCCGGGTCAAGCTGCTGTAGTGTTTCTCTAGTAATCCATGTACAATTAGATCAACCCAACGAACAAGGAAGTATTGAACCTCCCAATCTTTAGTCAACATAATCTATTCATCTAAAATAATATCAATTTTATCTTTGTGTGCTGGGAAATGTGGTATTGGGTTAGAAGTAGCAAGAGATTCAGGGTCAAGGTCCACAGATGGAGGTATGATAAGATCATCAGAGGGATTGAAATGACCTTTATAAGCAATTAAATCCTCAACATTGTAAGTATGGTGGTAGCCAAGATGTGGTGAAAGATCAAGAACATATGCATTTGGGCCAACTTGCTTTAAGATTTTGAAAGGACCAGCGCTACGAGCTTGCAATTTGGAGGTTGATCCATGTAGGCGCTGCTCCGATCGAATCCGGATCATAACATAATTCCCAATATTAAAATCAACATGTCTTTTATGAAAATCAGCTGGAAGTTTATATGATGCGTTACTAGCTTCAAGTTGTTTATTGATCTCAATATGCAAATCATGAAGATGATGTGCAAATGCTTCAGCTGACATAGACACTAGCATGTGGGGACATCAGAATGAGATGTAAAAGCTTCCTAGACTTAAAACCATGAACAACATCAAATGGACTCATACCTAACGATCGATTCTTGGAACTGTTATATGATATTTGAGCTGTAGGAAGAAATAAATCCCAATTTCTAAGATTTTCTTGGACCAGACATCTTAATAAATTACCAAGACTACGGTTAACCACTTCTGCTTGATCGTCAGTCTGCGGGTGATAGGCATTAAAAAATTTTAACTTTGTACAAACCTTGTGTCACAACGTTCTCCAAAAGTGACTAGTGAACCGAACATCCCTGTCCAACACAATAGTTTTGGGGAGACCATACAATTTGACAATTTCATTAAAGTACAATGTGGCAACTTTGGATGCATATGAGGTTTTGCTACAATGAATAAAATGAGCCATTTTCGAGAAACGATCCACTACCATAAAAATAGAATAATGTTTCCTTGGGGTACGTGGAAGCCCTAACACAAAATCCATATTCACATCTTGCCAAGGACAATCAGGAACGGGAAGATGTGTGTATAGGCCAGTGTTTTGCCTTTTCTGTTTTGCCAACTGACAGGTGTTATAGGTACTAACGATCTTGGCCACATCTTTCTTCAAACTAGGCCAATAGAATTAATGTTCAATCTCCTCTAAATCGGGCTAAACCTCCTGCATGAATTTTCCATACTATGAAGTCTCGCACTGAACTTCGAGGAATGCACAATTTATTGGCTCGAAAAGGTAACCCTCCCAAGGCGAAAACTATCCATATTATCCGACCGTCCTCCTTGCAAATCAAGAAAGATATTCTTGAAGTCGGGACATGTCTCGTAATCTTCCTTAAGTCGCTCAAAGCCTATGACCTTGACGTTCATAACCGACAAAAGGGAGATACGACGACTTAATGCATCAGTCGCTTGGTTCTCAACCCCCTTCTTATGTTTCAAAACAAAAGAATAGACCTGTAAATATTCAACCTAGCGATAGGAATAGAAGTTTAAATGACGAGGAATCATATTAAACGTTTACCAATATCAGAGCTATTTTACAATTGAAATAAACTATTACAATGGAAAGGAAATTACAACTCAAACTTAAGTAATATTTACAAGGTGCGGCTGAAGTTGGGCAAATTGCGGCTGCGATTGGGTCAATGAGCTTAAGTAAAGTTGTGGTCTTGGACACTAGGGATGGGAAAGCGATACTTCACCGTGATCCTATTAATGACACGACTATCTATGCACATCCTCCAAAAGTCATATTTCTTAGGCGTCAATAGTGTAGGAACTGCGCAAGAACTTAAACTCTCACAGATGAATCCTTTGTGAAGGAGTTCATCCACTTGCCTCTGTAGTTCAGCGTGCTTAGTAGGATTCATCCTATAATGAGGCAAATTTGGAAGCGACGCTCCTGGGACCAAATCTATGGCATGTTGGATGTCCCGTAAAGGAGGTAGCTTGTTAGGTAAGTCCTCGGAGAACACATCCTGGAACTCTTGAATGATCGCCTGGGCTTCAGGAGGGGCTACTAATGGGGAGTTCGATGGAACCTCTAGGATAACCAAGTCAAACACAACCGAATCGCCTACAAGTGTGCGTTCGAACTCCGTAGGATTAATAATATGTAATCCCTTTTGTTCCTCGCTTTTCTTTGCCTCAGTTGAGCCAACGGGTTTTGGGGGTAGGGGATTAAGGTGAATTTTCTTTCCATTAAATACAAAGGAACATGAATTGGAACGACCATAAATGGTAACATCTAAATCGAAAAACCAAGGTCGACCAAGAATGACGTGACTGACATCCATTGAAATGACGTCACACCATATATGATCCTTATAATTGAGAAATTAAATAGGTACTAGACAATGTTCTTTTACAGCTATCGAGGAAGTATCAACCCAAGAGACGTTATATGGCTGAGGGTGAGGAACTGGTTTCAACCCAAGACGGGATACAATAGCCATTGAAACTGCATTAATGTAATTACCACTATCTACAATGACCTTTCAACCCTTATTATTGATCTTGATGTAAGTGTGGAAAATGGCATGATGACGCCAATTATCAGCATTTTTGGGTTGAGTCATGGTACAGCATACAACACTTAACCTAGATGTGTTGGGAATAAGGTATTTCCATTATCATCCAAGTCCTCAAATTTTTCAAACTTAGGCTCATAAACTTGATCCTCCAATGAGTCATCCACTATACCCTCACGTTCTTCCATAACTAGGGCTCTACTAGGACAGTTAGAGGAAATGTGACCGAAACCCTTACAGTTAAAGCATTGCAAGCGGGATGATGCCATTGGAATTTCAGGATCTTTACCTTTATTTTTTCCTACAAGAGGACCCTTAGATAGGGGAGGCCCTACGATAGACTTAGGGGAAGGAGTGGGCGCTGCAAAAATAGGTGTTGAAGAATCATGAGTACGGATGTCACCACGATTTCTATACAGAATCCTAGGAACTAACTCATAGTCTCGGACGAAGGCATAAGCATGGTCAAGAGTAATAGCACCCCGAAGGACAAGCTCATGTTTCAGATCATCTCTGAGGCCTTGCCTAAACCTACTTTAACTAACTTATAGTCTCGGACAAAAGAATAAGCATGGCCAAGAGTAGTTACACCCCTAAGGACAAACTCAGGTTTAAGATCATCTCTAAGGCCTTGCCCAAACCTACTTAAGGTCATGGCTTCATCCTCAACAACCGACATCTCATTTGAAATTCATCAAACTGAGTGACATACTCAGTTACTAGTCGATTGCCTCGCGTGAGAGCATTCCATTGATCCAACAAATTACCCTGTACGGTTGCGATTGCAATTAGGGTCAGTATGTGTTCTCTGTGTAGGTGTATTGGACGACGGTTATTAGATTTTAATTTGGTGGTTTGGTGTTTTGTAGTTTGGGCGGTGGTTAGGAGTTTTGGGTTTTGCAATTTAACAGTGTTTGAGATGTAAATTGATTATGAAAACCAGGTTTAACTTTGATACCAATTTGATGTAGAATCAATGGGGGTTAATTTCAATAATAGAAAAGAAAGAAGAAGAAGAAGAAGAAGAAGAAATGGGAGCACGACAGAGAGAAGAAGAAGAAGCGGAAATGGGAGAAAAGAGGGGAAGACGTGACAGCCGCCAATGTAATTTTTAATCAATAATTATTCAACTACAATGAAAATCCAATAAATAACAAAAACCTAACTTAAAGGGCTTGAGTCAACTTCCTACTACAAGCTCAACAATAGAAAATATAAATAACAAGTCCAATAATAATAAAATAAATCTCGATCTCGATGATGTCTGCATCACTATGAATATAATATAATATAATCTCATAACGGAAAATAATATTTTTCTTTCAATTTTGAACTTTTATTGGTGGGAATCCATTGAAGTTTATGAAAGAGATTCTTAGAAGGCCTTTAGAGCGATTATATACGGTTTCTGCTCTGCCTCGGAGAGATTCTAAGTTTGTGTCTCTCATCTTTTTTTACCTCATACTATTTCTAGTTTTTCCATTAATTTCTGGACAGCATTTAAATTCCCATTGAAGGGACATCATGCTTTAATCCTTGTTTAAATTTCATGATATTATATGTATAAACTTCTGCTCGATTCAGGTTTTGTCACCAAAAGAATATGCCGTGTGATTTTCTCAAGGTTTTTGATTTTGCAGTTTGCATTATTAGAGAGTTCTTCGGTTGATGATGACCTTGCCAACTTAAAGAAAGAATTATCCGGAAGCACAAAGGTATCTCATTGTCGATGCACTGTATTTTACTTTTTCTCTTACCCCGTTGAAGGCATTATTTTTTTTCCCATTGGTTATGACTGCTTATGGAGACAACATATGACTATTCCCTTTAGTTTTGACTGACATTGACTTCAAAATAATTTTTCCTTTTTTTCCCCGGCAAATTTACATTAGCAAATCTCCTCTTCAAGATATATCGTAACCAGGTTGTGTTAGATTTTCTCTCAGTTTTACGCCATAGTTATTGACAAATGTCATCATTTACTTAAAAACAGAAGGGAGAGCTTCCGCCAGGGAGAACCCGTGTTGCCAGTACAAGCTCATCATTAAAGTTTCAAGATCCTGAAATCGAAAATGAGCTGAATGAACTGAGACAAAAAGCCAAAGAATACTAGTAAGGATTCTTGACTTCGAAAATCTGGTTTTCTGCATGAGAACGAGAAGGTTTATGCATTTCAGAAGCGACCTTCGATTAAGGATTAAAGAGCATAATGGAATTCTTATTGTTTTGTCTACAAGTATATGGTTACAATTGCATTGCACAGTAGAAGTTTGTATATTTACTACATGCTCTTGATGATTAGATAACTTGTAAGCTTCTATACAAATTTGATTTGCTCTAAGACTCATTTACGAGTCATCCCTTCTTTATTATATACAGTATTATGCGTTGGCTCCAAATTTTTGTTTATTGCAGCTTACTTTTTGCACTTCTATTCCGAACTTTTGTTTCTTGGTATAATTGTCCTAAATCGCGATGGAGTTTACTACTGGTCATTTTCGTCCAAATACTGTTAAAGGTTGTGGTGAAAATAATGTTGAAAATTTTGATAGAATGTTTGCCGAAATAAGGTATGGCTCCGATAGTTTTGGACCCTTTTTAATTGTGATGAGAAAATATGTATTGCTCATGTAAATCAAGGATAAAATCGTCAATTTACTTCTTTATTCCGATTTCCCAATCACTCAATTTTCTCTTTAAATTGCCACCCTTTCCTTTTGTTACACTAATTTTTAACTGCAGTGAAGATCTCTATTCTTTATTCATAGCCAGTAAAATTTACATGTACTTGGACGATGATTTTCATGTAAGGGCATGTTTGATAGATATTATTGAGGAAATAATGTATTTTAAATAGTGATACGATGACAAATATGTGGTTAAAAAGTAATGGAAAGTTATTGATGTAATGAAAAATATTATTTTATTGAAAAATGTGGTTGAAAATGAGTTTTGAAAGAATGTATTTTGAAAGAATATATGTCAAAGAGTGGTTAAGCTTCTAATGATTGCTTACATTTTTTTTCGCTTATATGCCTAGTAGTGAGTGTATATTTCGAAAAATGTAGTTACTAATCGGACCAAACTTCAACGCTGACACCCGATAATTTTGTATAAGATTACTCTTGACGGGTATCAGGAATTCTGAATTGCATAGGCTAAGATGTAGCTTAGTACTTTTTTTTTTTTTGGAAAGAACAATTCATTCCACTTCAAAATAGCAAGTTTCGGATACAAGGAGTTTCCTTCAACATTATTCTCTTCGCGGAGAGTTTTAAGTGTTTCCTTTGCTAAAGTATGGGCGACCACATTACATATTCTAGGTACATGATTAACATACCAGTATTGAAAAGATTCAAGCATTCTCTTCATGTCCTGGATCAGTAAGCCTGGGTAGTTCCAAAACTCTAAGTCCCCATTTAGGCCCTTCACGATGTTCAACACATCTCCCTCCAAAATGATCGACCGCAGCTCAAGATGTTTACACAATAATATCGCTTTCATAACTGCAATGGACTCAGCCAAAAAGGCATCTGGGAAAACATTTCTTTGGGACATCATCGATGCTTTAACAGTGCCGGTCTAGTCTCTCACAACAATTCCTATTACAACTCGACAATTAACCGAATCCACCGCCGCGTCCCAGTTAATTTTGTACTTACTCCGAGGGGGTACATTCCATGGCTGGGAAAGATGAACTTCTCTGATCCTGGGCCTGTCCGGCTGGGAATTCACCTCTTTGTAATCTATTGCAATCTATCGAGCCACATAAGATAATTATGCTGGGCCATCGAATTTATCCTCAAACACAAAGGAGTTCCGCCTCTTCCAGATCAGATAAATTGTGGCAATGAAGACCTCAATTTCTTCCTGAAACAGGACATTAAACATATGGCTCACCAGATCTTTGAAGTGGAATGGCCTAAATGACATTTTCTGCAGTTTCCTTAAACTTGAACCCCATACATCTTGGGCAAAAGCACATACCACAACGCATGCTCCACATACTCCATTTCCAATGTACAAATCGGATATAATGGGGACTCCCTAATTTTCCTTATGTTCAAGTTCAAATTAGTAGGTAGAGATTCATGAGTCGCACGCCACAAGAGCATTTTGCTAGCCTTTGGTACTCCAGATCTTGCTCCACATTTCATCCTGAATATTACTGGTTGGACATTGGCCCGATGACTTGCTGCAACTGATAGAGAAGATGATAAGCACTTTTGACTGTAAATTTGCCCTCCTTCGTGCCTTGCCATATGAGCTTATCCGGGCTACCACAGAAACTGATTGGGATTTTGTTGATGAGAGAAGCTTCCGTCTTAGAAAAGTTACCAGAAACTAAGTCCATGATCCATGATTTGGTGTCAACATTAATAAGCTCACTCACTCTTCCATTCTTAAATCGGGCATGTAGGGGAGATTGAACTTGAAAGGTGGATGCTTGGGGGAGCCATTTATCCTTGTCTATAACCACTGAGTTCCCATTTTCAATCTGCCAAAATAGTCCATCTCTTAACACATCTTTGGCTTCTGAAAAACTTTGCCAAAGGCAGGAACTCTTGCTACCAATTTTGCCATTTAAGAAATCTGTTCTGCTAAAATATTTATCTTTAAGCACCTTCAAAGCCAATGAAAATGGGTTTTGAATAAGTCGCCACCCCTGCTTTGCTAATAATGCCACGTTAAAAAGCTCAAAATCTCTGTAGCCAAGCCCTTCAACAGTTTTGGACTTCCCCAACAAGTTCCATGGGAGCCAATGCGTCTTTGTTTTATCTCCTCTACTACCCCACCAAAAGTTTTTGACTTGCCGATTAATTGCTTGGAGAATGGTTTTGGGAAGCTTAAACATGCTCATACATTACGTTGGAACAGCTTGAATGATGGCCTTGAGAAGAACTTCTTTACTGGCTTGAGAGATAAATTTCACTTTCCAGTTGTTCATTCTACATCGAGTCAAGCATCGGTTTGAACGCTGCCATTTTATTCCAACAAACATAAGCCGGCAAACCCAAGTATTTATTAAAGGATTTCACTTCTCTAACACTGGCTGCATGTAGGACTGTACTCTTGATCTCCGGCCTTGTATTGTTGCTAAAGTAAATAAAGGTCTTGTCCATATTTAGCCGTTGGCCTGACGCTTGTTCAAATGAGCGCAGAAGGTTAGAGAGCCGCCACCATTCCATAACACCAGCCTTGCAGAAAATCAAAATATCATTTGCAAAGAATAAATAGTTAACTAACAGATTGCCTCTTGCAAAAGGAAAACCAGAAATGAACCCTTTCGCCTCCGCTTTATCCAGTGAGGTTCCAAGAACTTCTGAGCACAGGATGAAAAGGTGAGGGGATAGCGGATCTCCTTGCCTTAATCCTCTAGTAGGTTGGAATTGACTTTGCGGCTCACCATTGATAATCAGGGAATATTTCACGGTTTGGACACAATGCATAGTAAGCTCAACCCACTTATCACCGAAACCAAGTTGTCTCAAAACGGCTTCTAAAAAACTCCACTTGATCCGGTCATAGGCCTTGCTCATGTCCAGCTTAAGTGCCATATAGCCTTCTTTCTTTCCTTTGACTCGACACTTCATGGAGTGCATAGCTTCGTAGGCCACAATAATATTATCAGATATTAAACGTCCTGGAACAAAAGCACTTTGAGCAGGGGAAATTATGGAAGACGAGATGGATTTAAGTTTGTTGGCTAGTACCTTGGACATAACTTTGTAAAGGATGTTGCAATAACTAATAGGTCGAAAGTCTAAGACAGATTCTAGATTCTTCTTCTTAGGAATTAAAACGAGAAAAAGTATTATTAATCTCATTGAAGCCATGATGCGATGCAAAAAGATCTTTCACTACTGCACAAACGACGTGGCCAATTGAATCCCAATTGTCTTGATAAAAGCCTGCTGAGAAGCCGTCAGGACCAGGAGAGCTCAACGGATCCATTGCAAAGATTGCTTGCCTCACGTCCTCATCAGTGCATGCTTTCTGTAATTGGTCATTCATGTCAGGAGTTACTTTGGCCTCAAGGTCTTGAACTGCTTCTTCAATTCCACACGGGAAGGAGGTAGAGAACAAGTGCTTATAGAAGCGTTGGAACTTGTTACATATCTCGTTCCGTTTGGTGGAAACCTCGCCCCTCTCATTCAAAATTCTCTTGATAGTATTTTGTTTTTGTTGTTGAGAAGCACATTTATGGAAATATGATGTGTTCTTGTCCCCACTCTTGAGCCACAATTGTTTAGAGCGTTGCCTCCATTTGGTCTCCTCATTTGCTAGCATCGTTTCCACTTGCTTTTGAGTTTCATTAATTGTTTCATTCAAATCCCCTTGGTGCTTCCCCATTTTAGCATTTCTTGATTTCCTGGAAATTCCTATATTAGACTTGGCCCAAGACTAGAGTTTCTCCCTGCAACGCACAATGCCCTCTTTGAAACTACGTAGTGAACTGCTCTGCTCGCCAGGGGATAACTAGCCACTTTTAATTAAATCTTTGCACTTCTGCTTTCGAGACCAAGCCGCTTCAAATCGAAACATCTTGGGACAATGGGAATTCATTATAGCACCGTTAGTGCAAGATATAAGTAGTAGGTTATGATCCGAATTGACATTCGGAAGTACCTGCACCTCACAATTGCTAAAAAGAGAGGGGAAAAAGGATTAGCAAAAGCTCTGTCCATCCTTTCCTTGGTAAACTGTCTCCCCTCCCTTTTGTTGCTCTACGTGAATTTGGAACCAACATAACCCATATCGCTAAGCTCGCAATCCTCTAGCACCTTACAAAACCTGTCCATTTGAGAAAAAGGTCTCGTGGCCTCTCTAAACTTCTCCGTGAGGTTGAGGATCTCATTAAAGTCTCCCATAATCAACCATGGAGATGGACTATCGGGATTCAGCCTTCTCATTATTTGCCAGCCGTCCCTTTCTTTCAGTGACTGGGTTACCATAAAACCCATGATGACCTTGCATTATCATTCTTGATATGCAATGAAATATGACTTCTAGAAAAATTGATTAAAGTTGCATTAACAACTTCCATCCAAAGTGTCGCCAAACCTCCACTTCGACCCACACAGTCCACAACAAAACAATTATCAAATCTTA